CAGCAGCCACACCAAGGGTGGTGAAGGGAGCATCAAGCGTGAAGGCCCTGAGGGGACACCTGCGCAGCCCAGGAAGGAGGCTGGCAGGGCTGCTGGGCACGTGGCTGCTGGGATGGGGCTTGTTGACATGTGCTGGGAGACCATGGGGGGGGGCGGCTCTCAGCAGGGCTTGAGAATCCGAATCCTTTTATCTTACCTGAAGCTCAAAGCTTCCTGCTTAGAATTGTGCTCCCCTTCCTCTACACTGCCAGAAAACATTCACCCACAGCAGTACGTGCCCCCGACATCAGTGTTCCCAGCTATAATATGGACTGAACCGCGGCACCTGCCACATAAGGCTGTTTCAAGGATTAAACCAGCAAGCAACACGGGTAGACTGATGCTTACCCTGAGACGGGTGCCCAGTAACACCAGCTGCGATTATTAGTTATGCCCCCTTCTGTTTGCCCCCGAAGCCCCTTGCAGTCTCAGACAGCAGCGGAGACATGCTACACCACTTGCCAGCGCCCGGAACCTCATGCCATTTCGTGATAAATCGAGCAGTACTTCCTGGGGGCTCCCCACCCAGTGCCTTCCCAGTATCATCAAACACCCTGGACACCAAACTCTGCATTCTTCCTGGTAACAACGTAACAAGGATCCCCTGACCTTGGCCCTGCAGCCACTGGGACTGAGCATTCTTTGGGGAGGGGAACCGCCCTGTACATTTTTTATGTTGCTGAATGGCATCCCTGGACTCTACACCCACCAGAGGCCAAGACCAGCCCCAGCTGTGACAAATAAAAATGTTTCCAGACATTCCCCAAGCATCCCTTAAGAGGAGGTAGAATCATCCCTGATTGAGAACTACTTCTGCAGACATATGCCTGCCGGTCCCCACTATCAGAGGAGGAAATGGGAGATGCCAAGGTTACAGCCTAGGCCCAGGGTGTCAGGGCCGAGCAAGTGGTGCTAATGGTGGGAGCAGACTGTCCATTAATACCAGGTTTGCTCACCTTTACCCAACCCCTGCTTAGTTCAGAAAACAGAGTCGCTGTCCTCACAGAGGGCTCTCTCAGATCTCTCCAAGGATGCTGAGGCCTTCACCGAAGGAGGCGGCACAGCAGAGATGGGGCGACGACCACAGCCAAACACCGGACCCAGTCTGCAACCACCACCAGACGGGGCCCACTTCACAGCCTCTGCAGCTCGGAAGTCTCTCCGGGGGAAGAGGGAGGGATGGCATTCTCAGCCAGGAGACCCAGAAGCAGAGGCAGGAGATGGGCCTGCTCGCTCCTGCTGGGCACAACAGACACCAAAGGCCTGGGGCAGGGGGGAAGGGATCAGGGTGATGAGGAGCAGGAAGGACCCGAGACAGGGAACAGAAGCTGTTCAAGCACTGTCGACCTGTCTTCAAGCCTGGGAAGGAGGTTCATCGTCGCCTCTGACACAGGCTCCCTTCTCCCTCACCCGCTCTGGCACCGAACCTGATGAACTCCGAGTCAGACCTGGCTGGAGCAACCCCCCCCCCGCCAGGTTCTCCAAGACCCACAGAAACTCAGCCGTCCTCACAGCCTGGCTCAGGCCCCAGACTTTAAAAAGCCTGGATGCAAGCCAAGGGATATGGACTTGCATCTAGGGGCAGTGGGGAGATCCAGGAGACCCTGAGACTGGGCGCTTTCCTGAAAATGGCACTAAGGGTCTTCATCTCAACACCAGGGTCACCCCTCACTCCTTCCTTATGAGGACAAGATATTCAGAGAACTTAGCAGAAAGCTGGCACAGGCTCAATAAAGGCTTTCAATGTGCTGTCCCCTCTGCCCAGAACGTTCGCTCCTCCCTGCCCCATCTTCCCCCCACCAGGCTGACTCCTTCTTATTCAGGGCTCAGTTCTCCCACAAGCCTTCCCTGACCACCCAATTTGAAATTCTCCATCCCCCCTCCCCGCCAGGATGTTATTCAGGACTGCTCCCTTGGCCCCAGCAGGTAGCCGACACCCTAGGGAAATAAAACTATCCCACAGGTCCTTTTACTTGTAGTACTTGCTATTCTGGCCTTCTCTGGCGCCCCAGGTCTGTGTGGCCCTACATCCTCACAGAAAAGTAGCTTTTGAGTGCCTTCTCTAACTCTAGGCGCAGCTAGGAGCCACTGCCCTCCTCTGCCATCCACACACCCCGGTGAGCAACCCACCACCCCCCCAGCCTCTGTAACCAGAGGTAGCCACGCCCCGCCTCAGGACCCACTCCTGAGACCCTGAAGCCAACCTAGGCCCAACCAAACAGGGAAAAAGCATCTTTAAGTGGGGCTACAGCCCAGTTCCTCCCCCTCTCAGAGCTAGGAGGCCAGCCAGGGAGAGGAGGAGAGCAGGGCCCAGGTGGGGTCAGTTCTAGGAACTACAAGGAGACGTCGGGGCGGGGGCAAGGAATGAGGGTTACAAACCAGGCCTGGGTGATACCACTTCACCCAGCAGTCTGTGGCTCTTGTCTCAGGGGCTCAAGATCCGAAATCTGTACCCAAGATACGATGGTAACAATTAGCCCAGGGAGAAGGAAAACTGTGGTGGTCTGACCCGGGACCAAAGAGGAAAAGACAACCACGAAACCAAAGCAAGGTGCAGCTCTGGAGCCCGGCCTCATCCTCCTAACTGCCTCCCCTTGCGGGCCTACAGTGACCCCTGACCTCCTGGGTCCCAGAAGACGGGGTGGGGTGGGGGGCGTGAAATGAGATGTGACCAAGCCTCTGAGAAAGAAGCTTCTGCTATTCCAGCCCTCGTGGACACACCAGAGTGTGTGGGACACCCCTTTGTCCACAAAGGTACAACTCTATCCCTTGGGATGGTCAAGAGAAAAGGCCTTGGGCACAGAATTCCCACCAGGCAATCCAGAACAGTAGGAGTTCCTCCGGTCATGCTCCTCAGAGGCCAGCCCAGGAGACTGTGGGTTTGAGCTGAGTGCCAGTCAATCCTGGTCTGCCAATGTCTAGTTGGGTGACCTGGGACAAGCCACCCGGAGCCCTCACCTTCCTCCTACTAGGGAGAGGACCTAAGCTGACCCAGTGGTGGTGAGCAATCAGTGAGCTCATCCTGGGGCCTGACCCAGGAAGAGCACCCCACAGGCAGAGCCCTGGGGCCAGTAGCCCCAAAGGCCTGGGCCAGGGTGTAAATACTGGTTTTGATCTCCTCAGTGGCCTGCCTTCACCCCATCAGGAGCATCCAAACACAATGAACAGAGCTTTATAGGCTCTCCTCCCGGACTGGGAGGCCATGGTATAAGATGATGCCTGTGAGGTCCCATCCCTTAGACTTGAGCCCCAAGGCTCTGCTCACAAAAAGTGAAGTATCCCAAGATACTCAGGTAAGGGCCGTTGGGTTGCCCTCTGCAAATACATATGCCAGAGCTAGGTGTTCTAGACTTTCTCAAGCTGCCCACACAAACACCCACCGGGTGGGCCAGCACCTCGGAAAGCCAGCAGAGGCTTGCCCAAAGGGTAGGTCAGAGAGCCAGAGCCTGAGTGGGATGAAGAAAAGAGGAAAAGACAGGGCACCTGGGTGGCTCAGTGGGTTAAGCCTCTGCCTTCGGCTCTAGGTCATGATCTCAGGGTTCTGGGACGGAGCCCCGCATCGGGCTCTCTGCTCGGCAGGGAGCCTGCTTCCCCCTCTCTCTCTCTGCCTGCCTCTCTGCCTACTGTGATCTCTGTCAAATAAATAAATAAAGTCTTCAAAAAATAAAAAAAAAAAAAAGAGGAAAAGACCCCAGACCTGGTCCAGAGGTAACACCTGGTGGGGAAAGAGGTGGCATGTGCCTTTTGATCACACTAGTTTCTCGGGACGCCCCGATTCGCGTTTCGCGGCCACCAGCCCAGCGCAAAGGCGCTGCTTTCCCCCTCTCTCAAAGCTCCTACAGCAGTTCCTCAACCTACCTGATGGCCCCCAGTATCTGGCCTCCCCGCCCCCCCGCCCAACACCTCTCCAAGCCCTAACCTCGTCTGACCCCTGCAAACATCTCTGGGATCTCCTATCAGCCCCCACCCGAACTAACTCCGCCCACACCCACCCTGCCCCACTTCCTGGGCTTCTCCTCAGCCGCCCCCAGGCTTGTAACCTGACCTACCCACCTCCTACGGCGCCCGGACACTACCTGCGAGTCGGCCCCTCCCCGCCCCCCCTCCGGGCCGTTTCCCTCCTGCCGCGCCACTCTCCCCTCCTCCCCCACTCCGCCGACCCAAAGCCCGACTCCTCCTTCCCCTCCCCCCCACCCCTGGCCTCCCCGGGCGCCTCCTCACTTTTCCTTCTCGGGCCCTCCAACTTCCCAGGCCTCCGGCACCTGCCCCGGCCCAACCTTGCGCCTCCCCATCGCCGAAAAGCGTGGTGGGGGGAGGTCTGGGCCCGATCCCACCACCACCCCCAAACCCCACGGCCCGGCCCGGGACTGGACGCTCAAGGCCGCTAGTGAGGGCCGGGCCTCTCCGCACTCGCCGGTCCGGGCACAGTGCAGGTTGCGGACCCGGCTCCTTTTCTGTCGGAGGAGAGCCCCCCCCAGCCCTCCCCACTCAGCCCTCAGCCAGCCCTCGGATGCCCTCGGGCCGCCCCGGCAAGACGAGGCCGGAACCGGGCCTGGGGCGAGCCGCCTCACCTGCGCCGTGGCCGCGCTCCGGGGGCTCCCGGCGGGCTCCGCAGCGGCGGCTGGGGCCGGGCCTGGGCCCGGGGCGCGCCCCCCTGCGCCGGGGCCTCGGCCTCCGCCTCCGCGGCCTCCGCGGCCTCCGCCTCAGCAGCAGCGGCAGCCGCGGCGGCCATTCATTGTGGGCCAGGCCGCCCCAGCCGAGCGCCGAGCGAGCGCAAGCCGCGCCGCCGCCGCCGCAACCCGGCTGGGGAGGAGCGGCCGCGGCCCCGCCCCCGCACCGCCCCAGGCCCCGCCCCCGAGGCGAGGCCAGCTGAGCGCCGAGAGGCTCCCTTCCTCCCATCTCCGTTTTCTCCCTCCATCTCCCGTTTTTTCCCCTTCGCCCTTCACGGTCTCCGCTAGTACCTTGGCTCTGTAGGAGAGTTCGACTCCCGACCCTGCCACTTTCTACTTCCGCGACCCTGGACAAGTCTCTCTGCTTTTCGGAACATTCATTTCCTGTAAAACGAAAACAACAATGAATTCTACTTACTCTGCCAGGCACCGTTTTAGACTCTTTATGGGAATTATCTCGTTTAAACTTAACACTAACATTTTTAAGTCGATATCATTACACACACACACTTTATAGAAAAGGAGGCACACAGAGATGAAAAAGACCTGCTCAAGATCCCCAGTAGGTACGTGGTGGCCTGTGTCAGGAATCAAACCCCGGCTCAAGAATCGACAATAAAAGTTAACGATTTTATGTATATGCCAAGCCAGATTCCGTTCTAGGCATTTAACCTGCACTAACTCGTTTAAAACTCACAACCACCCAGTAGCGAACGTTAAAAACTTCTGTCCATTTTGCAAATCGGCAAACTTAAGCATAGAGAGGGATAAGAACAAGTTGTGAGGCGAGCTGGGACTGAGACTCAGGCAGTGCAGACCACTACGCTCTCCGCCTACATCAGTTAGAACCTACCCAGGGGTTACTACGTAAGAGGGGCTGCTTTGCACAGTTTCCAGGCATTCTGTAGTTTGATCTTTGCTCTATATTGGAAGCTAGCATTCTTATTTAGCAGGTAAGGAAAGTGAGGCCCAGAGAGTTTAAGTAACTTCCCAAGACCATGTGGTAGGACTGGGATTCAAACTCAATAAATCTAACTTCAGAGCCTTAATTGTTCCCGCAGAGTGCCCTGAAATAATGTGCTCACAGCACTCAATACACAGAAGCCGATCAGTAGGTGAATTTCTCCGCTTACCGCCCACTTTCTGAGCCTCACCTTCCTCATCCGTGAAATGGGGCGAGTGATGCGTCCCCTCCCGGGGGAGCCGAAGTGATTGAGGTTATCCACACTACTTTCCGAGCTTTCCGCCGTGCATTTTGATCCCGGCCACCCACTGTAGGTAGCATCACTGATTGGCTAACATCTATCATATGACCTGCCCTCCCACTGTGCCAACATGGCGACGCCCAGGTCCTAATCCGGGAAACGTGCACCGAGACTAATTCCGTCCTCTACACCTCGAGAGAGGGTGAGAAAGTCGTGGGCAACGCGGGGAAGGATACAGGTCGGGGTTGGGCCAGCTCGAAGGCTTCTGGCTTCTCAGAGGCCGGTCTCCCGAAAATGGGGTGTGGTGTCACCTTACCGAGGCCGCAGGGTCTTCTTAACCTTTATCGAGGTATAGGCCACCTGGCTCGAGGACACGGCTCTCTGATGCTCTTCCTGTGCCCTCCCCCACCCCCCGAAACAGGCTTGGCGGGCAGAGGCTTCCGCGGATGTCCCGTGCGAGAATCGTTCTGTGGCTAAGATTGACTTTCCGCCCCGCCTGCAGTCTCTATAGAGCCCGGTTTATGGAGGGACAGACGCAAGGGCTACGGAATCCGGGCGAAATGGAGAACGGGACCGAGCCCTGCGGAGAAGAGTGCGCATCCGAGGCTCAGGAGACCACGGTCACCGAGGGGGCCGCCAAGATAGCCTTCCCCAGCGCCAACGAAGTCTTCTACAACCCAGTGCAGGAGTTTAACCGGGACCTGACGTGAGCAAGGGCCTGGGGTCAGCTTGGCAGAGGGCAGTGGAACTGCAAGGATGAGGGGGTTGTGAGCTAACCGTCCGTCTCCTGCAGATGTGCTGTGATCACCGAGTTCGCTCGCGTTCAGCTTGCGGCCAAAGGAATCCAGAGTGAGTCGAGGTCCAGTCTCTTGGTGGGCGGGGGTCACGCCGAGCTTTCTCCCTGCCCCGCCCCCTTTCCCTTAAAGTCCTGAAAGGCTCCAGCCACACAGCAGGCCCTGGCCTCGTTTCCTTCAGGCTTTCCCCAGGGGCTTTGGGAAAGATTTTATTCCCTGAATCTTCTGTTTCCTGAGAAATAGGGGGAGCGTTTTCAGGGGGAGCTTCACTGTCCCCTGACTTGTGCTTCTGGGTGGCTGCAGTCAAGGTGCCAGGTGAGAAGGACGTGCAAAAGGTGGTCGTGGACTTGTCAGAGCAAGAGGAGGAAAACGCTGAACTGAAGGAGGGTGCAAACCTGGCCCCGGAAGACCAACCTCGAACAGCTGCTGTGGGGGAGATCTGCGAGGTGGGGCCTGAGCACAGGAGGTGGCACCCCCAGAGTCCTCCAGTAATGGAGCGAGGAAGGCTCCTGTGGCGGGAGAGCAGTAGGAAGTGGGTGGTGGGGGCTCCTTGGGGCCCAGCAGAGGATGGAGGGATCCATGTGAGCCGGGCTCCCTGGTTACTCCAACAGGAAGGCCTTCGAGTGCTAGAGGGTCTGGCAGCCTCGGGCCTCCGTTCCATTCGCTTTGCACGAGAGGTGCCTGGGCTCCAGTCTGTGGTTGCCAACGATGCCTCTGCCCGAGCCGTGGATCTCATATGCCGCAACGTGCAGCTCAACGGTGTGGCCCACCTGGTGCATCCCAGGCAGGCAGACGCCCGGTAGGTTTGGGACAGCTGAGCCTGATGGCTGGCAGGCGCCTGCTAGAACAAGGTTGCCTGGTCTCAAATCCTAAGCCTGTCATATTCTTCCTCTGTGACCTCGGGAGGGTGCCTTAGTCTCTCTGAGCCCCAGTTTCCCGTCTATAAAATGAGGATGTTAGTATTACAGGAGTTGCAATACTAATGCTGTGTTGATTAAATGAGATAATGCTTGTGTACCCAGAAGTGTGGTATCTTGGTTGCCGATTTAGACTCGACTTCCCAACCTCTGGTATTTCTACTTATTCAGACGCACCACGGGCACCAGCACAGGCGCAGATCTCCGGTCCACCTGTGCCAGGCAGCAGTAAACAAAACGGACAAAATCCCTGACGTTGGGGCATTCATATTCTAATTCTGGGGCCCTACAAACAACCACCTGTGGGGCCAGGTTTTTGTAGAGCCCACCAGCTAAGAGTGATTTTGCATTGTTAAAGGGTTAAAAAGGGTACCACTTGCAGCCAACAAAGCCTCAAATGTTAACTATCTGACCCTTTACAGAAAACAAAAAGGTCTTTGCTATGAAAAGCATCTGCTTTCCTGGTTGTATTGAAAGCTGATAGGAGGGGCGCCTGGGTGGCTAGGTCAGTTAAGCAGTTAAGTGTTAAGTGCGGGGCCTCTGGATCCCAGGGTTTGGGGAAAGAGCCTTGCCTCAGGCTCCCTGCTCAGCGGGGAGTCTGCTTTTCTCTTCCCTCTGCAGTGCTCCAGCTGGGGTGGGGCAGAGGGCTGGAGGAAGGTGGTGGATGGGCTACAGTTTCAGGCTACACAAGATGGGAGAGTTTGCCTTTGGTCACTTACAAAGGGAGCTAGCTATCCTTCCAAATCCATATTTGATTACAGGAGTTAATAGAGCTGTAAGCTGCTTGAAACGCGGCTGGCTGTCCTTACTGCGATGGCTACACAGGAGTCCACCAAGGCCCAGGGAGGAAGAGTCATGCAGTTAGCAAATGGGCCAGCCAGGATCTGAACAGAGGCAGCTGGCCCCTCAGTCCGGGCTGGAACGGTCGCACCGAGTGAGAGAACACTCGTAGGGGACCGAGCGGGTCCCTGGGGCAGGGCGCTGAGGACCTGGCCTTCTCGCTCGCAGGATGCTGATGTACCAGCACCAGAAGGTGTCAGAGCGGTTTGACGTCATCGACCTGGACCCCTACGGCAGCCCTGCCCCCTTCTTGGACGCTGCCGTGCAGGCCGTGAGTGAAGGAGGTGAGGCCACGCTGCTGCAGGGGTGGAGAGCCTGCCTCGCGGTGCTGCGAGGGTCCTCACAGCTCGGGCCCCCCTCACAGGGCTGCTGTGCGTGACGTGCACGGACATGGCAGTGCTGGCGGGCAACAGCGGGGAGACGTGCTACAGCAAGTACGGGGCCATGGCCCTCAAGAGCCGCGCCTGCCACGAGATGGTGAGGGCGCTCCCAAGCCTCTGCCACCCGCCCCGCAGCCGCTTAGCTTCCTCCAGATTGGTCCCAAGACGTGGATGACACACGTGACTACAACCAGCGCAGCCCTAAGAGCCGGGGCTGCCAGTTCCGGTCATCTAGGGGGGCTGGGGTGTTGCCCAGGGTAGGAACTGGTGCTTCGGTCATTTTTCCCCCCAGTATCGTCTGTTTTTAACAATTTTCCAAAATTGCTTTTTAAGGCAGTTTTCAGGTCTGGGTGTGGCTTTGGGCTCACATCCTACCTTTGCTGGTGTCTTTGGACAACTAATCCCCTCTTTCCGGGCTTCGGTTTTTGCATCTGTGCAATGAGCATGATGGTGGGTGATGGGCTGGCACGGGGATTCGAGAAGGCAGGGGCTGCCTGCGGGCGGCCATGGGCTGGAAAGGAGGATGTCTCGTCTTTGTTCCTTAAGGGTTCTGTCATCAGGTCAGTCTGGGAAGCTGGAACCCTGGTGTTTGGAGCACATCGTACAGCTCAGCGCACCCCTTAATTGTGTGCTACCCCCAGCAGGGCCCTAAAGAGACACAGACTGTCCCGATTTCGTAGATGAGGGAACTGAGGCATTCCCTTGGCAAGGGTCATGCCGCCAGGACACGTGGGACTGGTCTTGGGCCCGAGGGGGCTGTGAGCCTCGAGGGTAGCGGGGAGGCCGTGGTGGGGGCGCGGCTGATGGCCGAAGCCCATTTCCCACCCCCCAGGCCCTGAGGATCGTCCTGCACAGCTTGGACCTCCGAGCCAACTGCTACCAACGCTTTGTGGTGCCGCTGCTCAGTGTCAGCGCTGACTTCTATGTGCGTGTTTTTGTCCGTGTCTTCACCGGCCAGGCCAAGGTCAAAGCCTCAGCCAGGTTAGTCTGGGGCAAGGAAGAGTGATGGATGGAAGGAGGCAACAGGACATTTTGGGGTATGGGGGGGTCATGCTCCCGCCCCAAGGAAATGGGGGTCTGATGGGGATGAAGTTAGCCTGAGGGAGGCGTCGGGGTGTGGTGATCATGCTGGGAACTTAGGGGTGCCCCTGCTCCCCAACAGCAAGCAGGCGCTTGTATTCCAGTGCGTGGGCTGCGGGACCTTCCACCTTCAGCGCCTTGGCAAAGCTTCAGGAGCCTCTGGGGGCCGGTGAGCAAGGGGGAGCCGGGCAGGAAGGTGAAGATGGGGCCTCCCAGGGTCACTGCCTGCCAACCACGCCGCTCTCTGCAGGGTCAAGTTCTCTGCAGCCTGCGGTCCCCCTGTCGCCCCCGAGTGTGAGCACTGCGGGCAGCGACACCAGGTGAGGCAGGGTGGGGGAAACGAGGGGGGCACTGGGGTCGTGGCTGTCTTGACCCCTCCCCTCTGGCCGCTGTGTGTCTATAGCTTGGCGGTCCCCTGTGGGCAGAGCCCATCCATGACCTGGACTTCGTGGGGCGTGTCCTAGAGGCTGTGAGCACCAACCCGGGCCGCTTCCACACCGCAGAGCGGATCCGAGGGGTCCTGAGCGTCATCACTGAGGTGGGGGGCCAGGCCGGGGTGCGGATGGGGGTTCCCCACCTATACCTGGCCATCCTTCCTCCGTCCGCCCCACATCCACCCTGTCCGCACTCGCAGGAGCTCCCGGATGTGCCTCTCTACTACACGCTGGACCAGCTGAGCAGTACCATCCGCTGTAGCACGCCCAGCCTCCTGCAACTGCGGTGAGCACCCCCCAGGCATGGGGCCTGAGCCTGACCTCAGGGGGCCACTGGGCAGGTGCAGCCCCTCTCAGACCAGGGTCTCCCGAGAAACGGAGACTCAGCATGCCCGTGTGCAGGTGCTGAGAATAGGGCATGGAGGCCACCAGCCTTGGCAAGGGGGATGGGCTTACGGTTCAATAACCGGCATCACACAAGCCACGTAGACACCGCGAACCATTCAGCTGCACCCCAGTCCCATCGAGGGGGCCTAGCTCCCCACCCGAACCTACCCCCCTGGCCAACCGCGGCCCCTCTTGGTCCACAGGTCGGCCCTTCTCCATGCTGGCTTCCGGGTCTCACTTTCCC